AATTCTCAGTCTAGCCCCATCTGCAGATACACAGATTCTCCAGATGGAGGAAAGGGAGATTTTACCACAAACTTGCAGAAAAATCTGTAAACTTACTCCAAATGAAGAGGGAGGTTAACCCCGCAAAGAACTTTTCTGCACGTGTGCAGAATCAACATGCTGCCTGCCCTATAATCTCTGCCTCTCTTCAGCAGTAACACTGTATGCATGGAAACCAGCAGTGGTGCTGCAAGTAGAAGGAATTGTTGCTGCTGCCACCAGGCCCACCATCACTGCCTCTCTGGCAGTGGCACTGTGGGTGGAGGAGGAGGAACCATTGCTACCTCTCCATTTGCTTGCCATCACTGCTGCTCCAATGCTACTGACTCTTGCCAAACTTTGAACACATGAAGCAGCCTTATCCTGAGTTAGACTATTAGTCTACCAACAGCAGCATTTTCTACTCTGACTGGCAGTGGCTCCTCAGGACCTTTGACATCACCTTCTACCTGATCCATTTAAGCAGAGATGCTAGGGGTTGAAGCTGAAAAAAGTACAGAGGAGGGCAACCAAGATGGCTAGGGGGTTAGAGCACCTTCCCTATGAGGAAAGGCTGAAGAGTCTGGGACTTTTCAGTTTAGAAAAGGGGCAACTAAGAGGTTTATAAAATTATGCATCAGGTGGAGTTGACAAAGGGAAATTTTTCTCCATCTCCCAAAACTCGAGGGCATCCAATAAAACTGATGGGCAGTAGGTTCAGGATGGACAAAAGGAAATACTACTTTACACAGAAAGTGATTAAAACGTGGAATTCGCTGCCAGAAGATGTAGTGATGGCCACAGGAATAAAGTTTTAAAACAGGATTAGACAGATTAGAACTCAAAAGCCCAAAAAACTTACTAGGAACATCCATGCATGCACAGAGATTAATGAAATCAAACTGCCCAGAGTTTGGGTACCATTTTGGATTCCGTAGCCACCACAATGCAGATTTGGCATAGGATCTTGGAGGTGGTGACCTCTTGGAGGGAAAAAAGGCAGCAGTGGTGAGCAAGAAGAAGAGGGGAGGCTGCAGCAAGCAGGAAGAAGAGTGCAGATGACCAGGAAGTGGCAGGAAAGAAATAAAGAGGGCATTTGAGTTCCCCTCCCCTGTAACTTATTGAGTCTGTCAATAAACTGTGAGGCTTATTTGATAATGGTTTAATTGTGATGCGTGGGCCCTGTAGTTTGGTGTGGTGTTGAAAATTCCATTAGATACCCTCAGTTCTCCTGACAGAAAAAGAGCCTCTAGAAATCCCTAGGAAGGAGGAATGATTAGTTTGTCTGTGATATATCATCCTATGTATGTTTAGAGTGGAAGACAGAACCATTAACATGCATAGAAGTTTCTCCATTGACTTCCACGGGATGAGGCTACAGTTCTGAACTTCACTTCAGCTGCAGCACAGTGGTGCTTCCCAGGGAATTAGTAGGTGGGGAGATAGCACAAATCTGAGAGGAGGAGCTGGTCCTGGTCCATTTGGTGATACTGCCTTGTCTGTATTTTCCAAACTGAGGCTTGTTCATTCTGGACTTACGGCTAATATCTGTAGTCATCCCAAGTCAGTGTGTCTTTAAGCTCCCCTAGATAATCAGGCAGGAGCCCAGCTCTTGCTTATTCCCTCAGTGCAAACTATCACCAAAACCTTAGCACAACTTCACTTTCAGCCTTAAACTAACAGCACGTGAAACGATTAATTCGAATAAATTCTGGACTAATCAGATCCCTTCTTTAAATGTTGACACAGTATTATTTATATCCCATAAATACCTTCTTGACTAAAATTCATCCCAGGAGATTGGCACCATGCCAGTGCTATTCATATTTACTGTATTTATATAGTACAGTTGGCCAAGTATAATATTTAAGACAAAATATGCCTTGGGATATATACAATATCTCTTTGCATTTTCCTTTTAAATCTCTCCATTGCTAAAAATATTTAGACTGAACTTTACAAAATGTCCCACAAAGACCTATCAGGGATCTGGGCAGTGATATATAGCCAACTGAGAGTATAATTAGAGCATATTTGTAATACTTGGGCCGCAGTCGGTTACCAAATGCTAACATCTCTGTGGTAAAAAGGGTTTTTTAAAAAAACTCTGAATGATGGTTCTTTCCCAGGCCTTTCACTCTATGACCTCGGTATATTTCATAGAGATCTCCCTTCCCCTCCCTCACCGCTGCCTCCCTAGCTAGTGCGGGAACTTGAGAGTCAGACGGAAAGTGTGTAAAGCAGTCCTGCTTCCAAGTCTTCAGAACTCCAAATGCATATTCAATTTACTATATATCATCCATCGGTATATATATATATATAGTATATAAAACAGTGAACTGAAAATTCATTTGGAGTTCTGAACACAGGCTTGAACATACAGGTATTTCTTCTCCCCCCCCCCCCGCTGCCCAACCCAGTACATACAACTAGGTAGCTGTGGAAAAACAGTTAACCTACTTACTATGTTCTTCCTAACCAAGCACTGGCACAGCAGGACTGACTTGAAGGGAGCAGGCCTGCAGCTCTTAAACTTCTGATGCTCTCTATTGGTGGATACCTGTAATCTACACTTGTCCTCCACTGAATTTTTCTACAGCACAGACTTCGAAGTGGATTTTCAAAAATAGTAGAACTTTTATTACTGGCACAACACTTCACTTTATTCCAATATCTTAATTTCCCAGAAAGCAAGACCGGGGTTTATTTGTTTTTTGGCAGCACGGTTCTTGACGTACTTGTGGAGAAAGCAGCAGCAGTGTGGTCAGAAAGATTAGGGGAGGTTATCTGGGGGGGGGGGGGGGGGAGGAACCCTTCCATTAAAGGTCATCAGTGTAGCTCTTCTTGAGGCCTTATGGTCTTCATCCATCGGTAAACATTCTCAGAGCAGGGCCTCTCTGGGTGCAAATAAAGGAATGACTTCTTTCCAAAATGCCAGCCTGTGTGGGTGGGTGGGCGTCTATATGCATTTTTTAAAAACTGCCTTGAGTTGTTTTCTGTGTCTCGGTGTTGTTGCTACCAATTAGGCTTAGGGATCTTGCACATACTCCCTTGGCTCCAGCACACTTTACAAAGTCTTCCTTCCCGAGGGCAACAAGGGGCGGGGGTGTATTTAGCGCAGCCATTCTGGATGGTGTCTTAATTGGGACAATAAAACCCTCTGCCTGCCAGGGTGTCCTCTACCCTGAGACTGTCATTTACCAACAAAAGAAGAAAGAGGAGGCACCGAGCAGCAAATGGGGAGGCTGGAGTTCTCTAGCTGGCATCCTAGGACTCTCACTAGCAAGCCTCAGCAAGCCTCAAAGCTACACCTTTGTTACATTCAAAATAAACAGCAAAGGCTGCAATTAGAACGTCTAGGATAAAGTTACTATTTCAACAAAAGGTACATGCTTTTGAGGGATAGACCAAGCATGCTAAGCATCGAGTACTGCAGAAACTATTGGGGAGGGGCAGAGAGAAACAAAACAGGGACCAGATATGCTTTTGTTCAAGGCATGTTTTTCTTTCTTTTATTCCTAGGACAAAGTTTTCTACAAGTTCTTTTTCAGAAACTTCTCTCCCTCCCCTCACAAAAAAGGAGGTGTGACACTACTATCACAGCATATGATAGTAAATTGCACAACACTCTAAATTCAGTGCTCCCTGACAATAATCTTTAATGTGTACATTTTACAGCTGGGGAATGAAAGCTACCAGATACATGGTCACATGGCCAAACCAAAGCTGGGAATCAAAGTCTCAGCTGGGCTTTGAATTCAAGTCTTCCAGCTCTGACAGTCAAACTTAGACTCTGGTTCTCAACCAAGCTCCCTTGAGCTCTAATTTATTTTTTTCAGAAAAGAGCACATATAATCAGTTCCAGTTGAAACATTCACAGGCTTTGTCCATAAAGATGTATTTTTTATTTTAAAAAATGGGAGTATCATTTGCTGCCTGGAAATAGAGTCACCATGACCAGAGTGACTACTAAACTGGAAATAGGATCTGAAGAGACACTCCCTGGATCCATCCTTCTTAGCTATACCATTTTTAACAGGGATCTTCAGGGAAAACTTGCTTTTGGGGTGGAGACCCTTCTGAATTTTGATTTTCTTTTAAACCTAAGGTACACTGAAACGGAACCCTGCCTTGTTCAGACACAAACCAGCCTTGGAAAGTTCCCTTTTAGAGGCTACCAACTTTATCCAGGACAGGAAAGTGATAAGAAGAGGACAGGGAGGGGGAATGGTGGGACAAGTAAACTAATCCTATTTGAAGGAGGTTTGTTGACCCAGGTGCTGGCAGAACACTTAAGGGGGAAGCCTACGCTGATTGCTGGCGGCTGAAGCAGAGAATGGGGGTGGAGAGCATCAGAGAGAACATTGGGAAGAACAGATTTCCCACCTACAGGAGAAATATGAAAGACAGACGAGAGTTTGAGGATGAGAAAGCAAAGAACAGATAAGGAGGCTCTGGCATCTGAAGGCACCAGGCACTGCCAAACATGGAGAAGGGGTGCACTATGGGTGTCAGTGGCCCCCTGCATTCAAAGGTGACTCTAAAATTAGAAGGGGTCAGAGACAAAGCCTGTTTGGGAGTCAGGCCCTCTCTCCAGGAAGCCCTTCCTCTTGGCAAGACAAAGGCACTCTGCCTATGCTCAGAGGTACCCTCCTCTATTATTTCACACCTTCCAGGACTAAGTTCAAGTGAGTCTCCTCTTCCCCACCATCACCCCTCCACAGAGCAAAAGGACGTACTTCAGAAGCAACGCCAGCGCTGCAAAAATAAATAAATAAAAATCTGAAAAGAAGGCGATTACGCGGAAAGTTGAAGACACCTGAAATTCCAACGAGACCCGGGCGACAGTCAGGGCTCTCTTTCGTTCCCCTGCACGTACAGAGCTGTTAAATCAATTCCACACACTGTCCCGAATTACTTGATTTTGATCTGGTCACACGCACGCACGCACGCACGCACATATACATACACACGAGACTTACTTTCGGAATGGAAAAACGGCAGGTCAATTTTGTAAACTTCTTTGGCGTAATATTCCTCCTCGCTCCGCTCCTTTTCGCAAGTGGCCGCTCTGTGGTTCGCTTTCTCCTGCAGCAGGTCCCTTGTACTGTTGTAGATTGAAATGACCTCCGGGGGAACCTCCTCGGGCTCCGGGAACTCTTCCGGAGGGCTGGTGAGTTTCAGTTTGCTCAGGATCTGCCCTCGGATAGCTTCGATCCTCTTGCGCATAAACTGATCCATATCGAGGGTGCTACAGGTAGACAAGGCAAAGGCCACCGTGGCAAGATCCAGGGTGAGGAAGACGCTCAGAAGATAGCAGTGCATTTTAGAGAATGAAGCAACAACCCACAAGGAAATCGCGCTTGTCTTCCCTTCCACCAAAAAGGTGAGTGGGGTATTTCGCTCGGTTTCTTAAGTGGCAACGTGCAAAGAAAGCTGACGCTTAAAAAAAGAGAGACATAGATATGTGTTTACAAAAAAAATAATAAAAAATTACAGCAGATCGCCACCAGCATGCACCGGTCTGCTGGTCCAAAACTGCAAGATTTCGAGCGCCACAGGTCACAATTCCCGGTGCAAAGATTGCAAGCGAACGTTTGCAGCAGATGGCGAGTGAGACCCTGCAATCGCTATTAAAAACCGCAACAGGTTGATGAGAGTGAAAACAACAAAAAATGCTACAGGTTGCGAGATTGTTTTTTTTTTTTTTAAAGGCTGCTATCACGGCATAGATTTCAAACAGAAAAAGAGAGAGATTGCTTTGCTCCTCCTTCACATATGTTAAAAAATAGCTCTTGATAATAAAGCCCTGACAAATCACGCTCGTTCCGAAGTTTCTTAGAGAGCGATGGGAGTTGCGTGGAAGAGACAGCTGCCGCCCCTCAACCGGCGGGCTTCGGAGCTCGGCTCCCACCTCCCCACACGCTCCCACGCTCCTCAGCTGAGATGGCACCGGCTGGCAATCGGACAGCCTGTCCAGGGAGGAGCCCCCCTTCCCGGAGGCAGCCCGCGGCCCCCCTTTGGCCCGAGGGGCTGATGTCCGGCAGCGGCGACAAGCACCCACGTGTGGGGATGTGCGTGCGAGGAGAGGCGCCGGAGACTGGCGGAGGACGAGGGTGGCTCTGCTGGCTCCTCTCCCGCCAAACGGTCTCCCTTTGGGGCCCCCTCCTCTCTTTGTGGCGTGGGCAGCGAGCGGAGCGGAGCCGACTTCCCCGTGGCCCGCAGGCGGCCGCTACTACTCTCGTTTGCGCCAACCAACTAGCTAACCTCCCTCCTCTCTGGGCTGCGCAACTTTTCCAGCAGCTCCCTCCCTCCCCCCTTCCTCCTCCACAACTATTAAAAAAAAAAAATCCAAGCCACAGTCAACAAGGCAGAGCTGCTGCCGGTTGCCCAACCTCGAGGATTTTTTAAAGAGAGAACTGCCAAGGTCGGTGTCCCCCTTTCTCTGGCCTTGGCACCTTTCCTCCCTGAGTAGGTGACTGGGTTGTGTTCCTTCCGCCTCGGCTCGGAGCGCAGCCCTTGCTCCGCGAGGCTCACTCGCTTCCTCTCTCTTCGCTCCTCCGGAGTCTCTATGAGCCACTTCGCTTTGCCTTGCCGCTAGGAAGAGGGGGATTTTTGCCAGCAGATAACATCACGGGCTTGCTGGGAGAGGGAGCATTTATAAGGTCTCCCCACACCATGTGTTTGCCTCCCAACAAAATGACGTGGTGGGATTGCAGGCAGCGGAGGATTCCTCCAATTACCATTGCCTTCTCCTTTAACCCAGGCTGGTAACCCCCCCGCCCCCTCTTTTTTTTTCCTTCTGTGATGTAAGCAGATCTAGGGGAAATATGGGAACAGCCCGGAGGTGGTCAACGTCCATAACAAGACGAAGATGGGAATAGAAGATGATTTCTCTGGCTAGGAGAGCTCGGGTCTTAAAGGAGACGCTGCGGTGGTTTAGCCTCTTCGTCCTCAGGAGAGAGAAAGAAACAGTTGACTACGTTTCAAAACGGTATTTCTCCCCCTTTATAAGAGAAAGGATTGTGCTGGGACTTAAGAAGTCTGTACTTTCATATAAGGAAACAAGCTGAATAGATCCTTTAGAGTATTCATTTATAGGATAGATGGTGGAGGGAGGTAATCGACTGGCTCCCCAACTTTGCAGTATCTAAATAACCCACATATGGGTTTGTTTGTTTGTTTAAAAAACTTTTGCAGTCACTGTGCAGTGGGATCCTCATAAAATTGAGTTTCAACACACCCTTTCTTTTGCTATTGCTTGGAAAAGGTATAATGGTCATAGAGCTGTACTGGATATTGAACTCCCACAGACTACTTAGTTGCATAGGAATTTCATTGTCCCCAGATTGTTCCTTCCGGGCATCTATTAATCACCTCCCTTTTTGATTTGTAAAAGTTCTGTCCCACCATTTCTCCTTTTCTTCATATTTACTTTCACAACAACCCTGTGAGGTAAATTATGCTGAGAGTAACTAGCCCAGAGCCACCCAGTAAGCTTCAAAACAGTGGAAAAACTTAACCTGGCTTCTTCATAGCTAGGGTTGCCAACACTGGGTTGGGAAACACCTGGAGGTTGGGTGGGATGGAGCCTGGAGAAGGCAGGATTTGGGGAGGGGAGAGACCTCACTGATATATAATTTAGTTGGTATATAATGATACAGAATGAGAACATAAGAGAAGCCATGTTGGATCAGGCCAGTGGCCCATTCAGTCCAACAATCTAGAGAGCCAGCTTGGTGTAGTGGTTAAGAGCAGCAGACTCTAATCTGGAGAACTGGGTTCAATTCCCCACTCTTCCGCATGAAGCCAGCTGGGTGACCTTGGGTCAGTCACAGTTCTCCCAGAACTCTCTCAGCCCCCAAAATAAGTCTAGCTTGCCACCTTAGTGGTGCATAATGCTTAAAGAGCTAGAACTTTCAGCTGCCAGACAATCTTAGGATCTCCTGGCCATACTACACACAATGCCACAATGTCCAACACTCTGTGTCACACAGTGGCCAAAACCCAGGTGTTATCAGGGGGTCCATCAGTGGAGCCAGAATTCCAGAAGCCCTCCCACTGTGGCTCCTCAAGCACCAAGGATACAGAGCATCACTGCCCCAAACATAGTGTTCCAGCTATATCTTGTGGCTAATAGCCACTGATGGACCTCTGCTCCATGTTTATCCAGTCCCCTCTAGAAACGATCTATGCCATAGAGTCCACCCGCCAAAGCAGCCATTTTCTCCACAGGAACTGATCTCTGTCATCTGGGGATCAGTTGTAATATTAGGAGATCTCCAGGCAGCACCTGGAGGTTGAGAACCCTATCATAGTCCTAGTCCCTCCACACACACACACACACACACATACACACACACTAAACATTGCACAGTACTGGGGAGGCCAAAGCAACCTGAGAAGGGGCCCTGACTCAGACCATCTTCCACCATACCACACCACATCGATGGAGCCAGCGAGTCATGCCTGGTGCTCGGCTTGGCTGCACCTTCATCAGGTGAGGTGGCTGCTGTGCAGGTTGCCTTACACCAGTCCAGTGGCCCTTCCATTGCTTCATGGTGGCTCATGATTAGCCAGGCCATCCACCTTGTTGAGCTATTGGGGGGGGGGGGCGGGTCAGGAGAGGTGACCTCCCCTCCACATACACATGCACACTGTCAACCAACTGAAATTTTTCCCATTGGTCATAGTGGCCAGTCCACCCTAGCAGCACAATGACTTTGAACTTCATATCTAGAAGAGCCAGTGTAGTGTAGTAGTTAACATATTGGACTCGGATCTGGGAGGCCTCATGGATGATCTTGGTCCAGTCATTTTCTTTGCCTAAGCTACCTCACCATGCTTTTGTGATGACAGAAGGGGGGGGGGGGGATAATGCAAGCTGCTTCAGTTTCCCACTGGAGAGAAAAGCAGGATATAAATAAATGAAGTCTAGAACCTCAGTGCACCGATGGCAGATGCTGAGGAAGCGTCATGTGATATCATTCTAGGACAAACATCTTAATTGGATTTTCTTTGGTATTTATTATTTATTGAAACATTTATATCCTGCCTTTTCTCTTGATTAAAGCATCCCCAGCTAAAACCAAAGATAAAACAGCAAACCCCAAACCCCTCCGCCCCTTAAAAGATGCCTGCCATTTAAACCCCCTCAAAAGCCCTGACAAACAGGCAGGCCTTGCAGCGCTTCCTGAAAATCCCCAGGGAGGGGAGCCTCCTTACTTCTTCAGGGATCCCATTCTACAGAGCCAAAGACATGATGGAAACAGCCTAGGCTCTGGTCAGTGCTGGACAGGACACCCTAAATGATAGCCAACAGATGGCTGTCTGATGACCATAATTGGTGCACAGGGACATATGGAAGGAGACAGCCCTTCAAATTTGTGTGTTCCAGGTCATAAAAGGCTTTAAAGGTCATAACCAGCACCTTGAATTAACCTTGGAAACAGTATAGCTGTTCCAAAATGGGCTACATATGTTCTCAGGGGCTAGTCCTTGATAACAATGGGGCTGCTGCATTCTGGACCCATTGTAGTTTCTGGGTTGTCTCCAAGGCAGCCCCACATAAGGATGCTCGTTTCAGACATTCTTCTGTTCCTCTGTGTACATGGGAATGGGCCAATCATAAAGCCAAGCCAATAAAGACAGGTCCCAATAGCAGGTAGGAACACTCATAGGTGCTCCCTGATGATGTTTGGACCAAGAGGCATATTCTTGTTTCCTTGAACATGCAGCCAAATATCTGAACAGGGCTAGAGCATTATTATTATTATTATGTAGACACAAAAATCAATAAAAAAACAGCCCTATTGTTCATCTGCAATGTAGGGCGGTTGCGGGGGAAAACCCTGGAAACTTGTGGGCTAAGCCACAAGGGTGGAGTCCTACAGTGCAACCCTAATCAGAGTTCCATCCTTCTAAAGCCATGGACAAAGACGGGTGTAACTGTTTAGGGTAGCACTGCTTGGGAAGTGATTTGCCCATATTTATCCAGGAGCTGAGCTGTGAGTTCTAATGTGCATCAGATAAGGAAATTAGTTAGATTTTACTATTCCTCCAATTTACAATTTCTACCACTAAATTCCTTGGACAGGCAAAGATACCTGGTCAACCAACAGCTTGAACAGCTTGCCATACATAGAGCCAACCAACCATGTAATGTAGTCTGCAAGATGGTTGAAAACCCTTCTCTTTCAGCAGACTGGGGCAGGCAACGAAACTAGGCAGTGTATCAAGCCTGTGGTATATAGCTAGTGGGTCACAAACTGTAGGCCTGGCACACAGTAGTCTTAGGATATAAATGGATTTCAGGCACCCTGCTCTGGGCCCCTTCCTCTTTTGTTTTAACGGTGGGCTGTACCTTTGCCATCAGGTAACTGGAAACAGCTACCACAGACTATCTTCTGTATATGAAGAAAAACGTAGTGACCTACAAGTTTGAAACATTTATTGTGGCATGGATTTTGAGGACAAGATGCTATTTTTATCAAACATGTCTGATGAATTTGGCTTTTGCCTCTTATTTTTAGGAATTTAATTCCTCCATGACGATTCATAATTTGACAAAACAAGAAAGAAATCAGCTCTTCCTTCTCTTTGTTATGTTGTGGTACTTGGTCACTGTCCCAGATGACTAGTTTTCACTCTTTACACTAGAGGGCATTGGGCACTGGGATGTACTGTACTCACAGCCTGTGAAACTTTCCCAGATGTGACTCATTTTCAAGTGTCTGGATCTGTCTCCATTCCAAAATGAGAGAAGCCTCTCTGAAGCCAACTTCCCAACAGACTCAGAACTAATGACAGATTTGGCCACTGTCAAGGGTGGTGGTGTCATAGAATCATGTTGTCAGGTATGTTAGAGGCAGGCCGCCAGCATCCGAGAACAAAGAGGACGATCCACTAAAGTCACCAGCTTCGGATGCTTTGGGACACCAAGCTTGATCATATCACCTGGTGAAGGAGTATAAAAGCCAGTACATCAATGCGAATCGTGGAGCCTTGGAGCCAGCACTAACATAAGGCCATGGGCAACATACTGTGAAGCCCACAAAGTAGCTTCAGCTTGGCTGTGAGAGTCAGTGTTTTATAATGATTAGAATCTGGGAGAGCCTGGTTCAAATCCCCACTCGTGTCATTTTCTGTCTCTGATTTTAATGTTGTATATACCATTAAAGGTTTATTGATTGATTGATTGAAATCCCCACTCAGCCATGAGTCTCACTGGCCATTCTCTCTCAGCCTAAATAGAGCTGCCTACTTTGGCGTGGGGAATTCCTGAAGATTAAAGGGTAGTGCTACAG